GCGTAACTGATCGCTGCAGCAAACGGCCATTACTGCCTGCTAACCAGGCCAACTTACCTCCGGTTTTCCAAGAAGCACGACTTTATTCCGGGGACTCACTCGAGCCCGCCGGGGCCTCTAATCGACGGTGCGTGCGCAGCAGCTTCTCCCAACGTTTAATCGATCTCTCCCTCCCCCTCTCCCGTCATGCACATCTCCGGGTTCCAACGTTCGAACGTAACAGTGGCATGCAGTGCGCTGCTACAGGCGGCGACTTCATTTTCAATTTCATTTTTTCGGAAGCTGCACCGGATTTCGATTATTCCGCGCAACCGAGAGCTCGGTTTCCGAAAGGCCCGGTTCGAGAGGCGGATGCGGAAATTCATTACCGAAAATACGGCCGTAAACCGTAAACCAAGACGCGGCAAACTTTAGAACCAGGGTTAGTTCGGGGGTTGATTCTCATCTCTCAAGACTGTGACCTCTGTCATAAATGCGGAACTTTCTGAGTTTTAATTTTTTCCATTGTGGAAATGGGAGATCCATGGGATTGAAAGTGAGATGAAAACCCGTGGACTCAAGCACAAGGACAAAGGGGCCGGAGAAGATCCAACTCCGAGGCCATAAAAATTGGAGAGTTTTTTTTTTTTTTTTTTTTTTTAAATCACTTTGTCTCCTGTAGCAAATGTAACGCGTCTCACATGGTGCGGGTGATAAGATGAAGTATGAAATTTCATGTGATCTTCATACTTTTTTTATGGAGTCAAATCATGAAGGTAGTGTACGAGCATTCACAGCACCAAAAAATGGCACATTGAATTTTGAGCTTCTACTAATGATTTTCCAACCTCGGACTGTTGGTGACACCAAGCTTTTAGATTGGTCTTGTGAGAAAGTGTGTTTGCCTTGTCATTTATGAGAAACAATGTTGTTTCGCCGCTGTGGGAGAATTTTGGTCAATGCCAGATGCAATGGTTATGGTCCAGCAGCAGTTGGTGGATGTGCACGTTTCATTGCTACAGATAGCCATAAAATAAGAAAGAGTAGGAAGCAGAGGAGATAGGCATCTCTTCTAATCAAACAAATAAAGGAGCACATGGTTAGATTTTCCTGTACTTGCACAAACCTTGTAGCCTTTAAAGTTGCGCCTTCTTCATGATACCGTATACCTTGCGATTGTGTCGTTGTAAATTGAAGTCATGTATGCCCCTCCCTGGTATCGACAACTCGTGTTTGAAGTCTGGAGGATTCCTAAAAAATGATACAAAGGTGGTCATGGCGATCTAAGTAATTTTGTGTGAACACATTTCAGAGAACACGAGGAAGTTGATACTCTCAATTGCTGACCAAGGAACGAGTCAAAAGGTTTTTGAAAAATCCACTTTGGTAAGCTAGAAACATCATACCATAAAATTATATTAAAAAGCATTGAAGAAGGGGAAAAAAGTATATTTAGTTCAAGTTATTTTTGGCGCAGCTCAAAATAGAATCAAATATTTGGCGGCGTGGTCAAAACGAGGAACTCACTTTGGCTTGTAAACTCGGACAAGTTCTTCGAAAGCTTAAGCTCAAACAAGCTTTTATACTTTACGTAAAAAAAAATTGCCTTGAAACTAAAGCAGATATAGAAAGGAAGAGAGTACATCCATCGTTTGCCTTCTTCGCCTTGGACAGCTTTGGAGATGAAATAGAGTAACTTTCCGTCGTTACCTGCCCTAATTTAGGAGTCCGCCGTCTTGGAGGGACTCCAAATCTGGAGAGAGGGACCATGTCAGACGGAAGGAGACACGGCGCGTATCGTTTTCTTCCAATTGTCAGTACATTCGTACGGTGGGTACCGTATCTGGTGGAGTTTGACATTTGTTCTACTGTTCGGTGTACGCGAGGGTCACGACGACCAACCGACCAGTGATGGGACTAGTAACGACGACCATGCATGCAGGCGACCGCAGTCACCGTACACAGTCGCCAGGTCCACGCAATCGCTTTTTGCGAGCGGGCTTCATTAACTGATCTCTTTACTGCGACGGCGAATATTTAGTCTTTGCAGTCTCCAAAACTTCCTCAGTCAAAACCACTTTAAATTAGAAACAAATCAACCTTGAGTCACACTCCCAAGTACATAGCAATCTATATTGATAAATAACTTAATTATTTTTATTTCAAGATGAAGTAGCTCTCGTTAGGTGAATCATATTAACCTATTATTATATGAAAAAATATTTATCTACAAAGATACAAACCTAAAGCTTCCTAATAGATATTAGATTCCTAATTCTTTGTTTTTGTAACGAATCATACCCTTGATGTCTTAATTTGGTCTACCTGAATTTTTCTTTACAAGTTGACCAACAGCTGAAGGTTTGCATTTGTTGGTGAGAATCCATCTCTCTGTCAACAGTCGAAGACTCATGATCATCATTTTTTTGTGAGAATTCTAACAAAAGAATGTATAGCAAGTACATGGTATAAAATTGCTATCCCCATTATATAAATATGGAAACTATAAATCAAGCTGAAATTGTCTTGATATAGTCAAGTAATTTCTAATTTCACTTCTGCTAATTGATTATGTGTGTTAAACACAACGTGTTTTCAAACATACTTTCATGGACCATGTATTTGCTTACTCCTATGAATATGAATGAATATGAAAGTACTGAACACATGACATACATTTTGATTTGATTCATATCATTAAAAATCATTGTGATAAGCTTAATTTTTTCACATCGTTCATAAGAAGTGATTCATAGGAAATGTCTGCATGCTATATCTTAAAGTACAGGGGATGAGCTTTTCTGAAGGGGTTTCCATTCCCATATTCTTCAATACAAAGTAAAAGAATTGTATGATCGATTCCTATGAATGATAAAAAGTACAAGAATCGTAGTTATATTTCTTTAGTAGTGAATAAAATTGGTTCATTTTTTAAAATGTATGTTAGATTTACTTAGAGTAGTTAATCATTGTACACCATACGTTGTTTCAGATGATTTGAAACACAAAATGAGCTTAAGGAGGGTTAATGAAATGGAAAGGACGAAACGTTCGAGTAAGAATGAGTTCATCCTAGAGGTTCAAGTGTTGAGTATATTCAAAGTTATGATTTTATCCTTTGAGTTGTGAGATTACAGTTTTGACATGCACAAAAGTTGTTCACTTTTAATTATTTAAATCACAATTGTCAGCCTATGTATAGTGCAAAGTGATCCTTGTAATATCACACACACTCCAAACCTGTGCCCAGTCACGATAAGAATTGTGAAAGTTTGTTAAGATAGATCAGACCCAAACGTCTTTGCTGGCGTGAAACTGATCTGGCTATGTGCAGAAGCTTCGCTATCCTGAAAGTATTAGAGAGTCGATTTTGGTCTCAACATTTGGACTCACGGAATCCGTCTCGTAAAAGCGCTTCGAGTGCCCCAACCCCACCGTCCTCGAGACCTGCAGAAGAGATTCCCACTTTGGTCTCGGGGATTTGATTTGGGGATGAAAAAGTCGAGTCCATGGCTCTGCACGAGCACAAGCGCATGCTCATGCACATCCCAAAGAACCGCTTTTGCCGAAACAAACACGCTGGGGAAAGACAAAACGTCATCTGCTTGAAATTTGGAGGTTGCGCCGTAGCAGGATGCAGTCCAGCATTCCTTCCCTTCCGACCAAGAGAACTGCTCTAGACCACACTACACTACGTACACCTCGAGCGCAACTCTCACTCGTTCAGCTCAACCCAGCTGGGCTGGGCTCAGCTTAGCTTAGCTCACTCATCCAATCCAGCCCATGCCCATTGCTCTCGACATAGCCATTGAGAGTTTGCACTATCATTGGCAAACGACCCCTCGAGCCTCCCTGTCTACAGTATAGGATCTCGAGCTGCCGCACGCTTTAGTTTCTACTTGTGGATGGATGTGTGCCCACTCTATAGTAGCGAATTCATTATTGATCTCAGCTACACATGTCGGTCTGGCTGGGTGGATAGCTGGATAGTTGGCTGGAGCTCGTCTCTTAGACTCGAGCCCTCGTGCAGTGGAATGGGTGAAAAACATTTCGCTTTGGCTTTGTCTGGGTCCACTTTCAGTAAGAGCTCAGATACGTACTGGATACGGCCCTCGGCTGCCAGGAGCCGTTCGTTGTCGTGGGGAAGTTATACGGTCGACCTGGCTGCCGCATTGTGCACTAACGCTCGAGCTGCACATGGCCTGGTGGAGATGCATACGGTTTTGGTGCTTTGGACTGGGCCTCGATTGTACTGTAGAAGTAGATCGCTGAATCTCGTCTGTTCATGTCTGAGAAAGGGACCTGGAGAGAGGGACAGGCCCGTGCCTGCCTCCTTCCTTGCCTTGCCTGGGGCGTGGTGCATGGGGCCCTGGAGAGCTGGTGGTGGTTAGTAAGCCTTTGAAGCTGGCGGAAGCAAGGAAAGAAGAAGCAAGGCATGAATGATAAAGAATAGTCCTTTGCTCGCGAGGGAAAAGTCTGGGGAAATGGAGCTCCTGCCCCCAACTGAACGGGACTGGTCTAAACAAAATTAAACAAATTGTGCGGGGACATGCAGAACGTCGGGTTGAAATTTTAAAGCTCAGATGCTTCTTCGGGTTGCTGCTGGATGGCTGGATGGCTGATTGGATGCTTGCTCGGCTGACCGACTACACTACTCAAGTGTAGTGTAGATCAGGCTATTCCGGCCGCCGTTCAATCCAAGTTGCAAACAATTCTCGTAGAGGTGAGGTGAGGAGAGGAGAGGATAGGAGAAAACAGAGCACGGGAGCATCACTCGGGCATAATAACTCTGGAGGTCTTCCTGCTGCTGCCGGGCTGCGGTCGCTGCCGATGCCGAGCATTGGCTGGATGCTGACCCGAGCCGATACCATCCCCACCAGTGTGGAATTGTGGGCCCATCTGGAGTCAAACCGAGACCCGGACAGGCAAAAAGAAGAATTGACGGCAGGTGGGGTCCTTCCTTCCCTCGCTCCCTCGTACTACAACTACTGGGGTGTCTCCTCGTTCCCGGGCCAGACAGGCACACACATTCGACGAGGAGGAGGGAGGAAGGGAGGGGAGAGAAGAGAAGAAGAGCAGCAGCCGCAGTGAGCGAGGAGCAGGGAGGCAGAAAAGTGGATGACGATAAAACTGCTGTACTGAGACTGGTGCTTGTCGTTTGCGCTGCTGGGGAGTGGTGTCAGGAGAATGCAGGGGAGAGAGGAGGCCTGTCCCAGCTCATTTTAAGCTTGCAACAACTCGAATCCTCGACACTCAGGACACGAGCCTTTATTCTCCTCTTACCCAGATCTTCTCCCCTTGTCTGCTGCCACATTCTGTGGACACTTCGAGAGATTGGGAGAGAGACTGTCGCTGAGCTGCTGCGCTTCAGCTGACCTCGAGCTGGACGAGGTGAGTCGAGCTCACGATCTGCTCAAAGGCCGACAACACTCTCGAAGGAGACACAAATTTTCAGACCTCCCTCCATGCAGCGCGTCTCCCACCAGATCACATCCGAACGCAGATCCCGCACAGATTTCCCACTCAGCCAAACTCCGCTCGGGAACGACCCCCCGCCATAAGCAGCGACAGCTCAAACTGACCAGCGCGCACACCCCGCACAGAAAACGCAACACTCCAGTGACCTCCACTGCAACAGCAGCTGCTGCATTCACTCACTCGATTTCTCGAGCTGCTGGAAGGAGTGAAGTCGCCGCCCGAGCTCAACTTCCCGACTCTCCAATCTGGGACAGAACACTCGAACGAGAGAGAAGCTGCAGCCCGAGAGCTCAACCGAGCTGAACTGGGATGAGCTGAACTGAACTGAGCTGAGCAGAGATGAGCTGAGCTGAATCGATTCTGGGCACAGAGCGATGCACAAACTGGCGAGAAGATGTGGCAGGGGTGAGCTGAATGCGGTGGGAGCAGCTGCGAAGTGAGAGAGGAGAGGGTCAGGAGACGGAGGAGATGGATTCGAGCTCGGGGGGCGAGGGGAGCTACGGAGGGAGGGAGGGGCCGAGAGTGGTGACAGTGCGCGAGGTGAGCTTTGCGCCCAATGTGCGGTCGGAGGTGTCATCACGGTCGGACGAGCCGGAGCTGATCTCGATCCCGGTGACACCGCAGGGGTCGACGCCGCCGAGCCAGGCGTCGCCACGCATCTTCTCGCCAGGAATTTTGACACCGAGCGGCGCTCAGACGCCCAGGGGGTTAGCGCTGGGCGCAATGGGCGCAATGGGCGCGAGCATTCCGGGAAGCAGCAAGGCGCCGTCGAGCTTGCCGACCCCGAGCCTGCCGACGCCGAAAACGCCGTGGACGCCGGGGCTGCGGTCGCCTCGGTTCCTGGGCACGCCGCTGGCCACGCCCATGCGCCGCGCTTTTGTGAACATGAAACAATATTTGGAGGACATTGGCCACTTCACGACGCTAAACCCTCGCGACGCCTGGCTACCGGTGACAGAGTCCCGAAATGGCAACGTCTTTTACGCTGCCTTCCACACCCTCAACGCATCAATTGGCTTCCAGTCCCTCTTCCTGCCCGTGGCCTTTATGTACCTCGGCTGGTACCCCTCCCCCCTCACTTCTCACTTCTCACTTCCCCTTTCCCCTCTCCCCAAACCCCTCGCACCTCCAGCCCACTACTGTCAGTTAACAAAATTACGATGGAGATGTCTACGTTCAATTATTGGTTCATGGTTGCATGTGCAGTTTTTTCTGGATTGGGGATTATGGGCATCGTTATTTTTATGTTTTATTATTATTATTTCTGTTTTTAGGGGGAGATATTTCAGTGTGGTTTTTTTCGTGAAGATGTGTTGGTGGGATTGGCAAATTTTTGATCGTGAATGTGATGTGCCGGATTGTGGTGGAGGGGGATTTGGTGGGGAGCTATGGCGATTATGAGGGTTGGTTCGAGGAATTGGGGAGTTTAGTGGAGCCGAGGGGAGAGAAGGTTGAAGTGTGGGCGTGCGCTGTGGCTGCAGGACTTGGGGCAGTCTTGCTCTGACAGTAGCATTCGTGTGGCAGATGTACACCACGCATCTCCTCGTCATGATGCACGAGTCGGTGCCCGGCAAGCGCCTCAATCGCTTCATTGAGATCGCGCAAGAAGCTTTCGGTTCGTGCTCTCTCTCTCTCTTCTCTCTCTCTCTCTCACTGAAGAAACATCGTCTGACAGCGTCCCTATCCCACACATTCACCGTCACTGGGATTCCAAACGAATCCACGCCGCCTTGAGCTCACAATGGGCACGAAGCATTCGACTGACACTCGAGAAAGCGTCCTCACAGTAGAGAGAATGCGAGCTCAGTGACAGTCCAGCAGTCGTCGAATTTTCCAGCAGTCAGCTTTGTCCATGAGCTCAGTCGGAGAGAGGGTTTATGCCGTGCCTTGTGTGCGCCGAGACCAAATCCTGAGTCGTTGATTTCAGAGTTCTGATGCTCAGAAACCAGAGCTTCAGTAGAGACCGATGGAATCGAACTCTCGTTCTGATTTCTTGCAACATTGCTGCGAGCGGCGAGGGAGGGGTTATTTTGAGTAATCTCAGTGGGACTTCGGTGGGATGGTTGCAGGGCCGAAGCGCGGATTGCTGATCGTCATACCGCCGCTGATCCAGCTGTCGGCGGGCTACTGCGTGGCTCTGACTATTCTGGGAGGGAGTGCTCTGCAGCTGTTCTACTCCACGGTGTGCACCGAGTGCTTTTACACCAAAGTGCTCACGGTCATGGAGTGGTACCTCGTGTTCACGTGCCTGTGTTGGGTCGTGGCCCTGCTGCCCAACCTCAATTCCATCTCGTATGTGTCGCTGGTCGGATCCATCATGGCCGTCGCCTACTGCACTCTGCTCTGGGCCATCTCGGTCGATGCAGGCCGCCCCCTGCCCATCTCCTACGACGCCGTTCGACGTAAGTCGGACCTGGCCACCGCTTTCACCATCTTCGTTGCGCTCGGCAACGTCGTCTTCGCCTTCAGAGGCCACAATCTCATTCCAGAAATTCAGGTTCCCTTTTCCTCCACTCTCGTCCTGATTTCCTTCTAATTTTCCCTCTCTCAATGCAATTATCATCGACGTCGTCATAGTCTTGGGCACTACTTCGAGCTCAGCTGGTGATGGCTTTCGATTTTTCTCTCTTTGGAAGTTGTCGGTACTGACGGACGATGACTGAATTGGAATCGGCCATTGCATGGCGCAGGCGACCATGCCTTCCAGCTTGAAGAACCCTGCTCACGTGCCCATGTGGAGAGGAGTGAGGATTGCCTTCGTGACGGTGGCCATCTGCCTCTTCCCCATTGCAATCGCCGGCTACTGGGCTTACGGAGACAAGGTGAGCAGAGGAAACCTTCCACAAATCCTTGAATACACACACTGCTCGTAAATCTCAATTGTCATCGATAGACGAGTAATGCACTCTTCTAATCACCACCGCATGTTTACGCACGCATCAGTCGGAGATTACAATCACGTAATCATCAGGAGCGCAGTAGAAGTCACTCGAGAGCAGCTTATGCGTTCCCTCCAGTCCACACCCTTAGCCCAAACCCGTGGACGACTGGAACGATCACTCAAACGCACGAGGTCGATCGATCAATGCAGCAGAAACGCTGCACGAGCTAATGTCATGATGAGCGAGATTTCTCAGTGGGGTAGGACCAGAGTCGTCGTCGTCGACGACTCTGGTTATATAAGCATAGGGCATGCATGATTTCGTACGTGCAGACGGACTGCAGAAAGCATGGGGAATTAAGCAGGTCATGACTGAGTCAAGCCCGAGTCAAAGCATGTCTACCTTTTGGTAGGAGTCCAGCAGCAGCCATGAGAGAAATCGGACAGACCTGGGCGCAAAAGGGAGGAGAGAGAGGGAGTGAGTGGGTGGGTGAGCGAGATTGCGGTGGGGAAAGTGGAAAAGGGGAAGTGGTGAGTGACGATTGGATGTGATGGGTGCGCAGATGCTGCCGTCGGGGATCCTATTCTCGCTGTACCACTACCACGTGATGGGGGCGTCGAGGGTGCTGATCGGGATGACATTCCTGATGGTGGCGCTGCACGCGGTGACCACGTACCAGATCTACGCCATGCAGCAGTTCGACTTCTTCGAGATGCTGCAGACGATGAGGTCGAACCGGCCCGTGCCCTGGTGGCTGCGCCTGCTCTTCCGCTCGGGCTTCGTCTTCTTCAACTTCTTCGCGGCCGTGGCGCTGCCCTTCATCAGCAGCTTGGCCGGCTTCCTGGGCGGCATCAGCTCCATCCCCATCAGCTTCGCCTTCCCGTGCTTCATGTGGCTCTGGATCAAGAAGCCCAGCGTCCGAAGCTTCGACTGGTACCTCAACTGGACGCTCGGCATCTTCGGCATCTGCCTGTCTCTGTGCGTGAGCGTCAGCGGCATCTGGAGCATCGTCGACACCGGATTGAGGTTGAACTTCTTCCGCCCCGGAGAAACATAATCGCACGCTGCTCGCCGGCAGAACGAAGGAATTTCTCGAAATAGAGATTAGTGCACGATAGGAACCACCACTTGGGAAATAGAGATTAACACAGAGTAGGAATCACCACTTTGGGAAGAAGCTTAGTTTAGGTGTAGGACGGTCTTCCGGCCTCGTTATCATGTAATGTGAGGATCAACTCCAATACCAATCATGGATACGAAGAGATCAGTGCAGAGGTGTTTGATGGATTGTAGAGGTGTTGGATGGATTGATTGTCTGCCACGTGTGGACTCTGTTCAGGAATATACACCACCTTTCGAGAAATATACTTCGTGCATTCGGTCAGAGCACAGCTTGCAGATTTGCATCGGAAGTAACTTGAGAAGTAAAAGATATGTTTCGTTCGTTTAGCTTTCAACTGAGGCAATTGCCTGAAAGTGCTCTCCACTGTCACAATCTAGATGCCTCTCAAGACCTGCAATCACATCCCATTATACATGGGACCACCTTTGAATGTGTACTGCAGTTGGCATACTCCTAACTGTTATCTCAAACAAAAGACAATATTGAACTTGCACTTGTAACCAATCTCCACATACTCGAAAAGAGGAAAGAGTGTCTCAGCAAAGACGATGGATCGGCAGTAGGTCAATGATTGCAAACGAAGATCACCTCTGAGAAACTTTGCATCTAAACAAGTGAGAGCACATGATATTCAAAAGATCAGTTTGTTACGGGCACTCGTTACCCAGATATCGAGAAGGTGGTATGACCACGTAGAAGCATTCTCGTCAGCAATCTGAACATGTACACACATCGCCATGCAACAAACAGAACCACCTCAGACAAACGATAATGCAGTCCATGAGCGTCTAGCTGCCGAATCACAAACCCATAAGAGCTGCCGAATCACAAACCCATAAGAGATTCCAAACCACTATGGTTCGAAATCGAGAACACTTCATTCCAACTGAAAACAAACGGTAACCAACCACCAAGTCACCGATCCAGCTGTTCACAAGAGAAGATTCATTCACACGCGTGTAAATGCATGTAGATACCGATTGCAAGATCCTAAATTGGTGTGAAATTTGAATCGATAGACGCTAATTTACATAAGGCTGGCAATTAACATGTACATGATACACAGGGACAAGTTACATGAAAGTCCCCTCACTGATCATTCTTGTGCACAGATCAATATGTTACCCCGATTAATTTTTGAACCGACAAATCTACAACTCAACCTACCTATCTATCTGACAAGGGAGCATGGCCAGCTCCCTTCATGGTAATGGGGATTGGGGCTTAGTGTTGAGTTTCTACGCTCTGTCTCCTACACAAATAAGGCATCCGTGTACCTCATTTGATCTAGAGCTGTACAATCATGACAGGGTAGCACAGAAAAGGATTATGTATAGTGTGTTCACACTACTTTAACTAAGATACCTCAAGTTACAGATACAAAGTAATTATTGACTGCTAGGTACAGTGACAGAAGTTACTATATATGTATATGTATTAAATGACCTGGTTTACATCAATTGGAACATAATTACTACAGTGTGGTTCTTCTCGATAGAGAAGCTCGTCGCCGTCTATTATTGAAACTCTTGAACAGCTGGTCACTGCAGCGGAACAATACACAGGTCAGTCGAGATTTTAAGTGAGCACAACGATACGACACTCATCCTTACAACTGCAGATAATCCACTATAAAGATATACGAACATTGGAAATTTGACAGCGCTTATGCCTTCTTTCCCAATTTACCCGGAAATTGAGTGCAACACTTACTTTGAGAAGTCAAGTTTGTGACACATAACACCACTAAGAAGAAGTTCTGGTGTAAACACCTTCGCACCTGCAGCAACAAATCCAAGAGTGCTTACATATGTTTGCTCGTGATATAATTGGTGATTAATAAAGAATTAGTCAGCATATCACGACTCAGGAGCCCAAACCTCTTCAGTCGTAATATACTGATAACATGAACCAAACTTCGAAGTCTGAAAGATTTACCAGCTCTTCACATGTTCACCTGAAAGAAAGTAGATTCGGTAGCCAGATCTAAACTGTTGCTATATTCAGTGAGCACGACAATATGTAATAGTCCACAAGATTCTTCAAGGCACCATAGAAGTGAGTCTTCCACTACAGTGATAAATCAATGAAACGAATGAACATGTGCACTGCATGTACCTTGCTCAAGGAGAGGACTGCACGTTTCTAATTCTTCTTCCGACGACAGCACAAGACAATAATCTGATTCTCTAACTCCGTCAGGTGCTGGACCAATGTACTCATCGACAACCTGCCACAACAGGTAACACCGATCTCAGAGAAAGCACGAAGGATAAGAAGAAATCGCACCCAAACAAATGGTTAAACAAAGTCATCTTGAAGCGCGGCATCTCGACACTCAATGCGACAAAATATGGGAAAATACCTGGCCTCCAGCAGCCTTAACAATCCTAGCAAGAGCCTCTGGTCCCGGTGATGTACCAGGCGTAATGTACACTCTAATGTCCTGCAAGAAAGTGACAACTGATAAGAACAATTGTCTCCTGCACAACCCACCTGAAAAAGATTGACACCTACGGACTACAGCGGTCGCGAGTTGCCTAACTGTCTTGCTCGGAAGGAGGTGCACGTCGTTTGTTGTCACCTCCAACGTTGCTTCGACACTTGGTCTGTGTACTATTTCCCCCCATCCGCATACTGGGGGCCCGTCTCATACCAGAGAGCAACACGTAGGTCACCAGAGAACTAGTGTGGTCAACGATCTGAACCTCGTTCAAGCAGTATTTGGGATCCTAGGGCAACCGGCCCACTCATCACAGCCACAAGAGGAATGACTGCTACTTTGTCCAGCTACAACTACCTTAAATATGGAACTTTCCACACACCTGCAAAAGGGGTCTCTGTTGTGCGGCATTTAAAGTGGAAACCATGCAAAATCCCATCTCATCCTCTTTCCGCGTATCTTTAAGAATGTAGGCTTGTTCATTCACAAAACCCTGTGCCTCGAGACAATTGTCCAGCCACTCTGCGGTGATGACGGGCTTCCCAGCAGCCATGGCCTCCAACATGTTTCCTGTTCTCACGAACTTGTCGGCCACAAAATGAGTACATTCGGCTGCTGAAGTTGTCACTCTTCCACCCAATTTTTTCACAATCTGTCATGACAACACAACAGATGAACAAAAAGAGCATATGAGATTCCCAAACATATAACATCAGCTACAGAATACTAAGCCGATGATCTTGAAAGCAGTCCAAAACCGACCTACTGCATACTTCAGCAGTACCTTTCTTTGCTGCTTGCCAACGTCGTCAGCCAGGCCATGACTGAACAGAACGCATGTTGATATGGCTTCTCCCTTCCTACGCTTGGAGTCCTCTTTTGACGAAGTCGTGCTAGCCTCCTTAGATGAAGTGGGGCTTGTTGCGCTCACCTCTACTGTAAGAGGCTCAAGCTCCTTACGCTTGCGGGCGCTTCTTGGACCTCCCTTCCCTCGTAGACGTCCACTAATTGAAGGAAAAGCAGGAGTAGTACTTGGAGGAGGAGGAGGAGGAGGTGGTGGAGGTTGAGGAGGAACTTCTACCTGCTCGGCATCAGATGGATCTGCTTTTTGCTCACCAGGAGCTCTAGGCAGTCGCCTACCTCTACCGCGACGCAGACCTGAACCCTGAGGAGGCCTTCCTGGTAGGGTTTTCTTCACAGGAGAAGAAACATCCGCGATACTTCGCATTCTTCTCCTACCAGGAAGAGCTTCAGTGTCTGATGGGTGAGCCTCCACACAAGCCGTCCCGTCGACGCTTGTATCCGCAGCATCTGTATCACAGGGGGAACCCTTCATCTCGTCGCCACCCTGCTTCTCTAGATCACTAGATGTCGTACAAGCTCGTTTTCTTCTGCCGTTGATGGACCCATCTTCACCACGACTCCGAGAGCTTCTCAAACCTTTACCAGCCTTCCTAACCTTAGGAGCATCTACATTCTCATTTTCCTCTGCTTCAGGAGGTTGCATATGGCTAAGTGAGCGAATTTTTACACCAGGACTAAGGTTTACTTCTGCGTCCTCATCCTCGTCAGTTCCAAGGAGCCTAGCTACGGCGGCATCCGACATGTTAAATCTCCTTTTGATCTTGTCTAGATCAGTATCTTTTGATACTGCTACTTCCAAAGCCTCAACCTTCCTTTTCCTGTCTCCATTTCCAGCATCCTTTACATCCTCCGCTTCCTCATGGTCGGAATTTTGTCGGGCATTATCTGCACGCTCCTCTTCTGTACATACGTGTTGCTGATGTCTAGCACTCCGACCTCTTCTGACCTGGACAGGCCTCCTGGGCACTTGTTCCACTGGACCAGCCCAGCTTACTCTCCTGTTCCTTGCTCTGTCCTTGGGATCAGTGTACTTCCCAATAGGAGGATCGGTACCCTCAACTCGTCTGTTACGTCCTCTCATCTTTACATCTCTGAAAGAATTGATAGGATCGGTACTCTCAAATCTCGTACTCTGTCTTCCCTGGGTACGACTGCGACGAGTAACTATACGCCGTCCCTCAACAACACCATCATGTGTTTCTGTATTCAGGCCGGTAGTTTTATCATCGCTGCTCACTGGATGTACTGTTGCTGGAGACCCAGCAGGATCCTTACTTGTAGCAGGCTCATCGGATCCATCGCCACTTGAGGCAAGGCAATCACTGCTCAGCATCTCCATCGCTTCTACAGCCCCTAGAGTGTCAGGTCCCATATGTATCTCTCGAACTGACACAACTTCGGCGTTCTCCTCAGCTTCTTTCTCATCCTCTCCTTCTTTATCCGTAGAAAGTAAAGTTGACGAAACGCTGCCCCTGGCTCCAATACTCCCATCCACATCACAATCCATACAATCGTTTTCTAGTACACCATCAAACTTAAGAAAGAGTTCAATCTGCTTACCATCCTTGTTATCGACTTCTATCCTAGCTTCCCCTAGTTTATCCTCTCCAGCTGCAGTTTCCAGTTTTTGAGGCTGCACCTCTGCTTCAGTTGAATGAGCTTGATTGCCAATATCAACTGGCCTGTTTGGACAACAAGGAACGTCGGATAAATCAGTTGTCGTCAACCCTCCACCCAATTGATCTTTTGTCGATGGAATTAAGACCTTCGATGCGTTCAGACATGGAAAGCCTGTCAAACCTGTGAGCCTGCCTTCGGCCTGCTGATTCGCATTGCTATCTTGTCTAGAATGTGTCAACTCAGAAAGACCATCACCTAAAGTACTCTCTGCCTTCTCATTCTTTCTTGAAGCAGCAGGTTCTTGAAATCCTTCTGGGCCATTATCTCTAGGAGATATGACCGTCTGCAATGACTTGCCCTTTTGGCCGGGTTTTGAAGGTACATGTGGTAGATCTGAAGATCCCTTACCTTTACTAGCACTCAGGGCCTCATCTGCTTGTTTATCAGATACTGTCTTGCCGCTTCCCTTATGTACATCGGGGGTCTTCGGCGGTTGCTCTAAACATCTTGGGGCTTGTCTAGAGTCTTGGGGTCCAACTCCCTTTGGCAGACCTTCCGAACCATGTCCGCCCAGCAGACCTGAACTCCTCTGCACTGCTGCGTTAGATGTCAAATCTAACCGAGAAATATCCACCGCTGAAATGACGGTGTCACCTTCTACATTCTTCATGCCTCTATTGTCTCTATTGTCTTGCAACATTTTGTTCCCAATCACATTCCGAGGTGCATCCACATGTAGTGAAGTTTGCACAAGCCCTGGTTCATTCAAAGTGCTTGTGAGCCCAGCGTTCGTTGCATCCCTACTCAACTTCCCATGCTGCTCACCTTTGTTATCCTTCGGGCCTGACATATTCTTATGCACAACAGCTTTCGGCCTATCTGCAATCACCGCAGGTTTGAACGGCTTGTCGGAAACCTTCTCCATCTTCTTGTTTCTAAGTCCATAAGCATCTAAGAAAACAGACTTTCTTGTCCCAAACCCAGTTTGTTTTGGATGGCCCATAGCTACTGGAGCCTTTGAAGTCCCTTTGAGTGCACTGGCTCCCTTGATCCCGAAAAAATTACCAGCTTCGTCGTTTTGGCTATCAACCCAATCAAAGACTCCCAATGGATCGTTCATACCCACCTTCGCCTCCGCGACCTGTACTCTTAATTGGAGTGCACTTTTTGCAACAGATGGGCATCGTGCGGGAGCTTTCTCTTCCTCCAATTGGAGCTCTTGGGGCAGGCCAATAGCATTAAGCCAGACAAGTTTGTCAACCATGTTCAATGCCCGGGCCTGTGAATCCTCTCCTGGACTTTGAAAATTTAAGTAGCTCAACTCACTGCCTCCTGAGAAAACTCCTGACCCAAAGGAGCTGCGCCTTTCCAGTGTCTTGTCGGCTTGTGAGTCCGTTCTGCATTCGATAAACGATTCTCCCACAGAAGGATGGAGTGTTAATAGTGCAACATCTACATGGAACCATGGACAGCACCAGATCTCTAGGCTTCACAGAGTTTAGTGGAGCTACACACAAGTAAACAATAAAAACTGGAATGATGAATTGGGAAGGCATACTGACAAGGCAGCAAATAACAGGAAAACTTAGATAGCAACAAGTCCACATACAGCAATAAACTATTGAAGAATCCTTTCATGAATCGTCCAACAGCTCAAAATATGAACTCGGATCATAAGGTTCACTTCTATTCATACATACAGCCTCTACCCGATCAAAATTCCCCAATCTGTGTCTGGTAATTTCAAAGACATACTAGCAGTTCTGAAAGCAAGTCCAGTACAGAGTTTCTTGAGCTGCCACTCCCACAGGCTGAGGCAACCTCACGACATCTGTCCATGAATTTGATTTGCTCCCAGACGGTTACGACAATCTGCAGTTGTTGCCATTTGGTGACAACAACAAGTCACCCCAAACAACTTTCCAGATGACCAGATAACGAAGTCTCAATCAACATAAACAAGAAAATATCTAGGAAAGCATTATTACCTTTCAAAAAAATCTCCACAAAAACACCTGAAAGAAGATACCTGGAAGTCCACTGGTGGGCTAGTATCAACTATTATAGACGACGTAATGCCCATAATGAAGTAATGCATACATTTGGTTTGTAGAACAAAATTTCTGAAAAGTTGGGCAATAAGCCATCAGGTAACAACTATAATATGGCAAAGAGCGGAAAAACATAAAATGTTTACAAGATGCTCTATCTCACCCATCGAGTTGAAAGTAGTACCTAAGATCAGAAACCTAACAAAATGCGACACCTCCACATGACTGGCATCCATCGTCATTTTCGTACAAGCGACTGTACCGAAACAACTTACTAAGAGAAAACTCAATACAGAACTCCATTTGTTCCAAAATACAAAAGACCAAACTTCACAAAGATCCCAATGACAACAACAGACATTTAGATCTAGATAACCTCGTTAGTCCGAAGAACTTGGCCGATAACCAGCCAACATTTGTACTTGAATATTGGTTCAACCCATCTTGTTGTGAAAAAATGTAAAATAATTCAAAAGAACAGATGCCGTGATTGAAACAATCGGCATAACATTCAGCTTTTCCACGAATAGAAATGATTATTACTGACAAACTTAAAACGTAACACGTTTTTTCACCTATATGATGGTAGCATTGCGTGAACACAAAGACATTCATGTAGATGAAGGCATATATGATGCTTACATAGTAGGGGGGGTGATCTCCACCTTTTCCCTCGCCGCCCCGTCGTCCCGTGCAGGAGATGGCGACTTCTGCACATTCTCAACCTTCACTTGACTGAAGATGTCATCTGCATCATTATCATTCCCTGAAAAGAGTTTTCTAGCTCTGCACAAATTCTTATCTCCGAATTTGGGGACTTCAAGACCCAAAACAGATTTTCCACTCCTACCACATTTATCTCCACTAAAATCACCTTCGATATGATCCCTGACCTTCCCCGACAACATCTCCTTCTCAGCATCTCTTGAATACTCCCCCGCTTTCTCGGTATTCGACCACACAGAAGCCACAGAGGCAGCAGAAGAAAAAACTCCTTTCTGGATAGAGGGTCTAGATGTGGGAGTAATATAATCCGCAGACTTTGCTGTTTTCCAAGGTTCTTCACACTGTGTTTCATTGGTTGCCTCTGTCTCAAGCTTGTGTACTTCCTGACTTTGAGAACCCTGAGGTGTATGACGATATCTGGCTGAACTGGAACAGGAGGATGCACGAAGCGCTGAAGCCCGCAATGATAATGTTCGGATGGACCCAGACGTTCGTGAGTTTGAATGCAATTTCGACAAACTTCGAGGTTCTGCCGGCAAGCCTTCACTGTTCCTGCTTCCAACAGGTGTAGTCTGGGAAATTAAAGCTACTTCAGGCTTGTCGAGAAGTCCTACATTGGATCCACCTTCATCTATCCTTCCAATTAAACCCAAGTCTTCTCCGTTGACTTCTCGCCAATCTTCGTCCATCATCAGGGTTTCAGGCTCGGGTGATTTGTTGAGATCCTGTTGACAGAAATTACCTGAGCTGTAAGCTGATAATCGACCTCTCATACTTTGTGACAAATTGCCTTCAACATGATAAGTACTACCTGTAAAGAACAAGATACGCACAAGAGATTAGCTGTACTCTACTGATTATATACTACGTGCATCTATGGCTCAAAGATTCGAATCTAGATTTAGTATAAAAGTTCAAAAATGGCAACGATCGAAAACTCCGTGAAGAACCATGCATTTAAACCTCTGAAACCGCTTTTGGTATCTTGTTAATGTGAGTTATTCCAAGCAGTTATATAATAACAAAGGAAAAGCTTAGAACATGGATATTTCCTGAAAAAAAAATACAAATGTAAACCAGTGCATAATTACCCTCAACATTATTGATGGTCTTGCTGGTTGGCAACCTACCTGGAGCACATCTGCGATTCAATAATCGCAGACATCAGGTAAACCTTTTGTCGGACACCGGGTATGCTACTATATAGATATATAAGGACAAGCTTAAACCTCATAAACCATTTGATAAGGGAACCTCTTTATGACAAAAGTTTAGACCAAACTATAATTTTGAGAAGATGACATTCAATCGCTGACCGCTGACCTACACCACTGCTGAAATATGTATCTCATGATGATATATATAAAATAGAAAAAAAATTACTCAGTACTTACCCGACACGTCACAATTGATGAAAGATTTTCGTCAGAGGATGATGAGCAAGTAAAAGATCCTATCCACAGAGAATAACTACACGGCACAGATACATGTAAATATTTAACGTATCATATTACAGAGCTAGCAGATCTCTTCTTGGCAGAAGAGTGGCGCAGGTTCTCCAGTTATTGAAAATAAGACAACAGGCAATTCCAAAGCTATTTCCTTCTCAGACTCTGTACAGTAAGTATATCCACCTGCTGCGTCTTGAAATTGGGCCAGTTCATTCAGTCTTCCGTTCGTTGTCCCCACTTTAGTATCTACTCAGGCCATCTGCTATTCACCAGTGTGCATCGTCTTCTTCCCATATCTTGGAAGAGAGCAAAAATCGCTTCGTTCATCCTTATCATACTAACTGTTCCCTGCATAATGATCAATTCTGTTATCTGCTTATCATTATTTATTGTTAATGAGTCTGCAGTACTAACATTTATCTTCCGTAAACAACGTATCGTCTTCACATGTTCTTCAGATCTCCAATATGTTAGGTGGGCGGGTTCTGACGATTCTGAGCACTAGGTTGCCCTTAAACTAGGTCTTCAGTTGATTCTAAGTATTGTCTGTGATTCCTTGTTTGTAAAGTGCGCTGCAGGCCAATTATCCCACTAAACCCGGAGCCCTTGTCCTCTGACGTGTTCGGTTATCAAGCATATCTTTCACGGAACGTGACGAAGGACGAACTTGAGATAGTTAATCCTGGTGGAGTTAATTTCTCCACTTTATCCGATACTAACTATGGTGTGCAATTTATGTGACTTTCATACAATGTTCACCCATGGAAATCTTAAAAAGACCATACCCTGAGACGTCAAATACAAGATGTCTAGATTAGACTTTCCGGAGGTGTTTCCCTACAGATACTCTACTAGGATTTATTTGAACAGCAACAAAGGATCTGCTCTTGAAATTAAAAATACAGCAATTAAAGCGTATGCTTGACACAGTGATTAAAGACTCATACCAAGGAACGTTACGTCGTATACACTTGCTCATGGCATGGCCATTAGTAAGTTTACAACTCGAAGTGACAGTTTGGGAGTAATATTTAAACATTAGTTGAGCTTCACAACAAACTCAAGAGAAATCAAAAATTAGGACACAAACAGAACCACTTCACAGTTACACAAATTTGCCGGACAATACCGCATGCCCATCCTTCCTGTAAATCAGTTACCCATAAAAGACCTACGTAAATATCCAGATAGTCATCAACTTAACTGAAACAGAAAAAAAAGTTGACGATAACAAGACTTACTTGAGTTCAAATTACATTTCTTGTCATCCTCTTCTCTTCTTTCGTCTTCTGTACTTCCATCCGAATCCTGTAGATGGAGTCCTCCTACTGCAGATGCCCAGACTCTTTCATCCTCATTACACCTGTTTCTTTGTCCCACAATTTCATGCCAAGTTCCTACCATCCTGTGGGACCCATAATTCTGCTTGTTGAGATCGGAATCCTTTAAAAAATGTGGGAGTTCACTGTCCCTATTTTGCATCTTGACCGGATTCCCAAGGCCAGCTTCGGTGTTGTTACACTTATGAAGGTTACTAGCCGGCTCAGATCCCATACTATTGAATCTGTTTCCATGAACATCATAAGAAAGTCCGGCAGATTTCTCTCCAGTTAAGAAAGTTGAAGCATTCTCCGCTCTTCTCTTGCCTGCCATTTCACTAAGCCAGTGGGACGTCTTTTGTTTGAAAGCGGCACCATACGGACTCAAAGCACTGTCCGCTTCGTCATCTTTTCCGGAACTCGCTCCACTGTCACCATCTGCATTGACCAGTTGTGTATCTTTCGAAGCCTCGTCCTCACTATGTATTATCATGGTGCAATCATCTCCCATTCCCTTGTGCTCCCGGAAGTCCTCATCTATGAGTTGGGTTGCCATATCCATCGCGTCAAGCTGCTGAGTTCTAATTTGGTCATCCATGTCTTCCCCATATCTATCGTAAGAGTCTACATAAACAGAAACAATTCCAAGAGTCCATCAGAAGCTACTTCATAACAACGTGGTAAAAGAGCCCTGACTTTGGGGCTGGTCTCTGAACTTGCGAAGACATCATCTTCCCGAAGCTTGCAACATCCTTCGTGCCCTCCTGGTAGACTTATTTGACTTGTCTTTAAACAACTCTAGACATCGTCTATGATTTAAATTGTTGAACATTGAACTAGTGAAACTACCTATGCTCAGAGCTTACCACATAGAAGGTTACCATTTTTTGAAGTATAAGCAATGACTCGACGACTGCAGGGGAAACATGAAGTTGTCTACGACTGTTGAAAGTGCTGAATTTCACATATTCAGCACTTTAGGAGCAATCACAAGGAGTACAGTTAGGGTAGGTAGAGAAATGGTCGTACTTGTGGAGCTCAAGAGTATATTCTTACTCAGGACGAGCAAATACCATTGAGAATTTGTTTTCTGTTTCTTGCGAGTTTAAACCATTTAACAGGAACACAACACAACCGTACAATGCATTTCCTCCGATGATAAATTTACTGCCTATCATATGAGAATATCATCCAAGAGACTTTCACCCCCGAAGGAGCCAGGCATTAAACCTCCTCTCTTCCTACTTCAGAGAAGTAAGTGTAATAGCATACCATTTAATTTAGTAAGTGTCATGCGAGGAAATTTCATCAAGGGAAGTAATATGGCAGTAAGCTTCGGAGATCGATGAAAGCTTAACGACACTCACCTGAAAGCTGAGGGTACAGGAGCTGCGTCGGCTGATTGGAAGGACTATCTGATCCGCTCGATTCTTCGGAGTCGCTTGACTCACCACTGTGAGAGGCATCTGGCGAATAGCCGATCAGCTGCGTATCTGCATCCATCATGTCTACCACCTGCGCTGGTGACTCCTTTTCCTAATCTCTCCTGAAACCTGTTTTTTATTACTCCCTGTAACTCAAACTAAAAATCCTGCACAGTATTTTTCGCCTCCCTCCATTCCCGTACATCTGAAAAGGGATCATAAAAAATCCCCGTCTCATTCAAATCAAAAAGTTCCCTCTGTCCACTGTCTCCGAAAAAAATCTTCCGCGCCCATCACGGCTCCGCTGTGCACCGCTCCGACCAGTTCCTAGGACCATCACCGATGCACTACTCAATTGGATACAAAACACGACCCAATTGCCAAAAGAATCTCCCATCAAGCTGCAAAACCTCCAATTTTCCAGCACCAACCCTCGCGCAACTCCCGACCGAGGCCGATAGATGCACCCATTCCTGCTCGCTGCCTAAAAGCCGAACTCAAATTTCAACGCATCCTGCGCGCACGCACGCCCGACGAACATGAATTCCGCACCACCCCAATTCCCAATCGCGGTTTCGCACATCAGCCCTCGCGTCGAATTCAGCTTTTGGCGTCAACTGCCCGACCCAACCCTACACACGATAAAGATGGAGCGAACGAACGAGAAAACGAGAGAGCTCGCAGACACGGAGATTTTGCCTTTTCCTGGCTCGGCTGGCTCGCTCGCTCGCTGGCTGCCTGATTGCCGGACTGACGGACGACTGGCTGCGTGACTGCGTAGCGTAGCCTTTGGACCCACAGCGAAGAAAGTCGAGCGATCGAGCGAACGAGAGCGTGTCTCCTCTAGTCACGGGCTATGGGGCAGATTTTGGCCCAGCCCCCCTCACCCCCGTCCCAACCCCCCAGGCCCCCCCCAGCCCCAACCCCCTCCCTCCCTCCGCGCCACGACCCCCTCCCCCCGCCTTCACCCCTGGGGTTCGCTGCACTCTGCCCCCGCGCCCGCGCCCGCGCGCAGGCCCCCCTACATTCAGCCCCTCTCCACAAGAGGCGCCAAATCGGGCGACGACGCTCTTTCCATCCGTTGCGTATTTTAAACTTCGCTTCGAACCACCCACCCCGGCTGCCCCAGAGCTCGTGACCTCCGGTCCCCCGCGACCTCCGGACGCTCCGGACCGCCCCCCCATCTCCGCTTCTTCTCTCTTCTCGTCCGCGTCCGGTCAAGGATCCGGCACACAACTCCCTCTTTTCCTCCTCCATGGGGCTTACGCTCTTCGTCTTCTCTGTCCGGGTGGGAACGTCTCCACGGCTCCGTCCGGGCGCTAATCAATGTCGTGGGGCTTGTTCGCGTCCCGTTTGTATCTAGCTGCCTCCCGCTCCGGTCGCCGAACCGGCCAGCCAGTCACCGAGGGCTGCGCTTTGTCTTATTATCCTCTCGCGGAGTCCTCTCCTTCGGAGGGATCGTCCTTCCTTCCCGAATCCCCCGGCTTCACTCGAGTCCAGCTGGACTGCATGCTGATTCCGCGTCACGTTTATCCCCGCCGATTCTCCGGTTCTCCGGTACCCAGTTTCACCGATGTCGAGCCTTGTTTCGTTGACTAATTAGATACCGACGGGGGTTTTCTCGGCACCACCGGCTGCGGCCAGCTTCGTGTGTGATGAACCGGTGGTTTCTGAGATTTAAGCCGCCGAATGAGGACCGGACCGCCGCACCGCAGTGCTCGCCTTTCGACGACAACCATTGCACAGTGAACCTCGTCATTAATTTGTACGCCCTTTCCATCGATCAGCTGCTCCTGCCAACAAAGAATTCATCCACCAACTTTGCTTGTTTATTTCAGTTTTGGCGCAAACGATAAACAAAAATGAAGCAGGGGACGAAGGGTCTGACAATCATTACTCTTCAGGAGCCCAAGAACGAAAGTTGGAAATAAATCTTATCGAATCACTCCATGAGAGATAAATTTTTCGGGGCACATGTTTATATATATAAGTGAGTACTATAACCGGGGAAAAACTCGCATTCACATCTATTAAGTGGTGCAGAAGTAACTCCCACTGTTTTTGTTCGCAAATGTCTCAATTCCCGAGCAGGACTAGTATTGGCCGAAGCAAACAACTGCTGAAAACGTAATTGAAGACATCATACCCAAAAAAACACTAGGAACACAAAAACAAATTGGGGATCTTTCAAAGTAATAATGCATTTCGACCAGCATTAATGGCAACTTTAGGTTTCAAGATCTTCCTTGAGGTTCCAACATAAGGTTATACGTCCCAGATATTCTTTATAGTAAATACTCTTTACTCCTAATATTGTGGTTTCACTTCTCTCTTTAGACCAGATCCGCTTTTGTTATGAAAAGAATTTTACTACAAGTCCCCTTACCTTAACATGACAATCTGGATAATATCAAATGTATTGGTTACATTGGATGCATTCATTTTTTCACTAATATAAAGTTTACTTAAGTAGTCATTTCAACATCATTACTTAACATCATTTCATAATATAGTTATTCATTTTATAGGATTCATTTTGATGTTTACCATAAACATGAAATCTTTGTTAGTAATAACTCAAGTTGGAAGGTAATCTCAGTTTAGGAATTTCTGCTCGGACTACATAGGAAGCCAAGACAAAGCTTGCCCCAAAAATTGTTTTTAAGGTTTTTCAGTAAAACATGATGTTCCCGTGAATTAGGCAGAAGTAAATTATGTAATTGTCGGCATTGTGTCTGCGTGCATCTATTGTATGTGTTCTCGGTTTTTTCTCATGATTTTCTATGATTTTCTTTGTGTTTTTTTGTCAATGCAGTCAATATCCTTCATATTTTGCATTGCAGTCTTGCTACCCACAGAAATATTAATACATTAAATTATATATATATCCAACTAAACTAGTGATTACAATGCTCTACATAGAATCATAACTAGAAACTTCACATTATTTGATGTATTTTACCTTGTAACTTACTTTTATGTGTAGATAATTTCATCTAGATTATTCAAGTTGTATAGACAAAATTTCATACCAAATCTATTAATTTAAAACCACAAATATGATGTATAAATGGAATATTAATAAATCATTCATATATATATATATCCATACATTGTGATAAACTTTAAGTTTTTATAATATGATATTCTTTGGACTTCAAACATTAGTTTTCTGCGACTGTTTACTTTTGTTTTAGTTTATTCGTAGTTAATTTATCAATTTTGCTTCTTCTCTAATATTGAATAAATTTTTTCCAAAAATCAGAAAATGATTTTTTTCATAATAATTTTCAAAATGATATTTGAATGTAATCATGTATTGCCTTTTGCAAAAAAAATTCTCAATGTGATTCATTCAATTGATAAAAACAACAAGTCCATAATCATTCATGCAAAAAAATAAATTCCAATAGTTTTTTTGATTTTTTTAAAATAATATTATTTAAATATACAAAGTCTATCTCTGAATTCACTTAGAATGTAATCTGAAAAAATTTTATAAGATTTTTTGATTTAAAACATAGTATAAAGCTAAACATATAAATAAATTTTATATTGGAATTAAAATCTAGTATTAATTAAATCAAAATAAATTATAAATAAATATTGAATAAATAAATTTTGTAAGATTTTATAACATGAAATTAAATTGGAATTTTAAAAATAATTTATTTTAAATTTAAAATTATTATTTTAATTAAAAAATATATAATGTATTAATTAAATAATTAAATCGACACTTTTATTTTATAAAGTACATAATTATAATTTTCGTATATCTGGATATGTTTATACATAGTCAAAATATTTTAAGATTACCACTTACATGAAAATGAATAATTTCAAATATCATTATTAAATTATTTTTCTTAATAATAAAATTCCTTTCATTTACTTTTTAAAAACATTTTTACACTCAGAAATTACATTATTTCTCAATATTTTCGATACATAAATTTTTTGTAATTTAAATAAATTTAAATGTTAAAAAACTTAATATTTTATATGAAAAATATGTAATGATAAATTGTAAAGACGAAATTTTATTGAATTCATATTATATTCCAAAATATTCAAGTGAAACATAAATTATTTATTTAAAACATTTTATCATACATTTCTTATAAGAATCTTAAAATTTTTATAAAAAATTATACAAATAATTGTGTTTTAATTTTAGTTTTAAATTGTAATAAATTGAAAGAAACTTGATCAGAACTTTTTCATTGCAATGAAAACCTGAACTAATACTCAGCGCTTTGAAAATGAAAATAAACACAAATACTCAGAATCCAAGTTGTGCATTAAAAAAAATATGTTTTCATTCTATAGTGATCTGATATATGTTTATTAATTTTTAAAAATAACATTTTTTTCAAAAAATATTTTCTAATAAATAATTTTTTCGGTCAATGAAATTTTCTAAGATATGTACTATATGTTTGAATCTTGATCTAGACATCATTGATATATATATATATATATATGTTTTAAATGTTTGAAACAATTATACCATCTCACTGAAAGAAAAGAATCGAACCATATAACGTTGAAAAGAATAAAATATTTCAACATGTCAACAAGTCAAACTCTCAAATATAACATATTAAACATAACAAATAAATTATAGACTTGGGATTTTATTTTAATAAAAAAGATTTATTTAATTTTTTTTTAAACATTGAACACATGAAATATTATATCTTTGCATTACGTGCATGAAAATTTACTATTCTTAAACATACAAACAAAACTATTTGAAATGATTTTATATAGTAAATAAACTTATAATCAATCTTGCTGAAATTGCGAAAAGTAGAATGACATCTTTTGATAATATCATGAACAAAAGATTGCTGTGAACTGGTTTATTTCAGAAAACCATGTATAACTTTTAAGAAAATATAAAAAGAACTAGATTTCGTTTTTAAAATACAATAATTTCATTTGCACAATTTGTTGAGCTTTCAAATCACAATACATAAATGTAATATAATTTTTATAATTCAATATACCGATTGATATTATATTTTGAATTTCTTAAATTTCTACAAAAATTTCATGTTTATTGTATAACTGTATACTAATAATTTAATTTGAATGCAATATTATTTGTTAAGATGAAAATTTAAATTATCTCTTAAATGTACTCTTATTGAATTTTAATACAAAATAATTCAAATTTCTTAAATTAATTTATAATATATATATAACATTATTTTATATGCAAGTCAAAATTAGTTGTATATGTTAATTTTTCTCTTCAATCTATATAAACAATATGATGAGATCAATACGATAAACAATTTATAAGTTCAAAATGTTTTTGAGGGTTGTCATTAATATCTTTGGTGATTTAGAAACTAAAAAATAACATGCTATAAAATTTTCAATATTAGTAATTAAATACCTTTAAAAAAACTATAAAAATATAATAAAAAATATTTATTTGACTGAATTTTACTAAGATGTTGAACCAACAAGATATGAGGTCTAAAATGACAAAATATATGAAAGCGAAATCACAACTTTAAGATGAAAATGATGTTTTAAGAAATTAGGATTTTTTTTATTCTAAAAGAATTTTTATAGAAAGAAACATAATGCTTCACATCAAATATTATAAACAAACTACTAGCTGCAATTTATTCATTTTTCCTAATTAAAAAATATTTGGAAATATATAAATAAATATAGATTTATATTTATATTTATATATAACTCATGGTACCACTAGGTATTTTATGTATTTGATGAGGCTTGAGGATGAATAATTCACTGCTCCACCTTACGTATAATCAAGATGATAAGTTTGGTTTTGTTTATAAAGTGTTTATCTAAATTGACTTATTTGCAAGTACATGAGATGTCTTTACATCATTAAAGTCTGATATTCAAGTTTTATTTTTATAAA